AAATTCCTCCTGCCATGATGCCCACCAACACACGAGTGAAGTGCTCCTGCCGGGATGTGGACACGAGCATGGGATTTTACAGATAATGGATCCTTCTGGTATTTGGACCTGTTGGAAACTGCTGCTGCGCTCATCTTCTCATGGGGAGAGTTGGTTTTACTCTCTGCTCTGATTTCTAAAGGAAAGATTCTCACCCACATCCTCCCTTTCATGCTGCTTTTGCTGTGGTGTCTGGTGGGCTGTGTCCTGTTTCTCCTGCTCTTTTCACCGGAGCTCCTACCTAGACCGGGGCTCCAGCACTTCCTGATCTGCTCAGAGATGAGGTCCCTCGATAACAGCATTGGCCACGTCCCTTCCTTTGGGGTGAGAGGAGTCATTGCAGCACTGGCCATCATGCTCTGGTCCATCCCACCTCCATCTCAGCTACTTTCCAACCAGTAGTTTTCCCCCAACAGTGCCAACCTGATGAGGGATGTTCTCTCTTCCCATGGATCTTGCCTGCTTTTGTTGAAGTGCACAACTCCCTGCATGGTATCAGTCCTGGGTATCTATCCTTCATTCATGCTTTTTATCCCATGGCTCCATAAAAAAAAAAAATGCTCAGAGCATCCTGGGAGCAGGGACCAAACTCAGGCTGCTCCTGAGTTGGAGTCAAGGATGCTCCAGCCTTGGCCTTCAAATGTGTCTCCTGATACAAGATGTCCCATCCCAGAGGTGAGCTGGGAGAGAGCCCATGTCACTGCAGGACACCCTGCTCTGCCTCGGTGGCCTCTGCCACTCTTGAACTCTTTCAACCGCTGGTTGTTGATTCAATATGAGCCTGTGAGTTGTGGATATAATTCACATTTAATCTGGCAATGGTTTACGACATCACACAATCTTGTAGTGATGAGGAACAGCAATGATTACTGCAGCATAACAAACTCCAGGTAGGACTAAATGAAACCCAGTCCTGCAGTGAGCCCAAGGATCACTAAATCCAGGTTATTTTGGACTCAAAAAGTGGTGGGGGAGTGAGTGGATTAGGATTTGTTTAAAAGGACATTAACCTCTTTGGTAGCAGCCCCCGTCCTCCCCACCACCAGGCATGAAAACCCCCAGAAAGACCAATAGCTTTAAGAAATTAAGCAAGTCTATCTACAGTTTCATGGGTGTTGCATTCACGTAAGACAAAGAGGCAAACAGTGACAAGTAACTGGACTTTTACAGAATTTTTTTTTGCTTTTAATAGTCTAACGTATTGTTAGTAACATTGTTGGCACTTCAAAATTATATATTATTTTATTTTGACAATATTCCCTTAATTCTGTATTTTTACTTGAAGAAAAGTCACCTCTTGCCATAAATACTGGGTTGCTGTTCAAAACACTCTGTGCTAGGTTACATCTACAGTGCAACTGGGACCAGGCTAACATTTACAATGGTTTCTGCTGCCTCTCTCTGTGTTAAGAAATTATGTTTTCCTATAAAAACACAAACAAAGAAAGTTTTACTGCATTAAAAAAATAAAAAAAAACCCTACTGTCAGTCGAGCTTATTTCCACTGTCATCGGCAAAAGACATTCTCTGAGGTCCCTTTGAGTGGGTTTCACTTTGGGTTAGAGGGAAATCTGCAGTTCGGCAGCTTCTTTCTCCTTCACAGAATGAGAGCCAGGCTTTGAAGGCAAAGCGACCTGGCTGAGAGCCAGGCACACAGGCAGAGTAGTGTTCATGTATTTTTTATTATAATACAAAAGGAAAGTCGAGTTATATAACGCGGGCTTTTGTAGTGCAGCTTTCTTTTTTTAATCTGTAACAGCTAAGAGGAGAACTGTGTCCCCATTTAAGACTTCATATGGTGAAAGATGGTTGACATCTCAAGTTGCAAGAAGTCACCTGGCATCTGGCCACTGATTTCAGCGGTGGGGTGGATTTTTTTTCTTGCACAGATGTTGGGTGTTTTGTCCAGATGTCTGACTGAACCCCACTCAAGAGCTGTACTTTGCTAAAAAGGAGTCCCTATCCTCTCGCTAAAAGCAGAATTAAAAAACCACACTAAATAAAGTGAACTAAAAACACTGCTGGATTGGTCAAACAGGTACAAAAGGATTAATCTCAACAGCAGCATGAGGGTGTTTCCAGCACGCAGAAGGGAGAAGGTCGATGGCTGTTCCACATCAGGGGTCCTGTGGGGCACCGTGTGCTGCTCCAGGAAGGCACTGGGGATGTGACGGGACCCTGACGCTGGCAGGCTTCGCACGCTGAATTCCTCCTAGCTCTGTAATGAGGTTCACTGCGCCCTGAAAGAGCTGAGCTGCTAGTCACAGTCCTGGATATTGATGTACACAAAGAGGGTGGAGGAGGAGTAGGGGTCTCCGTTCTTGGTCAGAAGATGGATGTGGCGGTAACCTGGAAGGAGAGACACAGATGGAAAGGGGCCTTGAGTCCAGTTGGAAAAACACACGCTAACATTTGCCAAGACCCTGCAAAAACATATCCCTGTCCCTGGGAGCGTTGTGCTCCAGGTACCCCACAGAACAGGTAGGTCTGAGAGGCACAGCGTTGAGCATTGGTAACGTAACATGCCCGAGTCCACTGGTGACAAGGAGTTCCCTTCCCCAGAGGCAGTGTCAACATCTGCCCAATAAACCATTTATCGCCTTGCCCATATTCCAGAGAGATGACCTGTTCTGACCCGAGGTGTGATGGATCTGGACCTCTCACCGAGGACACTGGAGGGTCCCAGAGGGCTCAGTGGTTGGGAGGACAAGGGAGCAGGGCCTTACCTTGCTTCAGACTAGTGAAGGGAAGGGTGTACTGCCCGATGAAGTCATTCTTGGTCGACATGTCAAAGTCTTCCACCACAAACCGGACCAGGGCAAGCGCAGGGATCTCTATGTCAAATGTAAACTCTTCCTCCCATTTCGGGTTAAAGCCTGGGCAACACAGACAAGGATGGAGGTCAGAGATGTTGGCAGATAAGGATGGAGGTCAGAGATATTGGCAGATAAGGATGGAGGTCAGAGATGCTTGTAATGGATGGAAACTTTGCCTGACTGACAACCTAACCTGACCCAGGCCAAAGGTTTCAGGAGGTGCTGAGAGTTGTGTTCCCAGCTCTGACACTGATTTGCTACCTGGTATTAATAAATCCTTCAGCTTAGGCTGCTCATTGCAGAGTTCACCACCACGCTCCCAGAAGGCAGCTTAGAGCAGGAGGGAGGTGAAGTCAGCTCTGCTCCACAGGCTCTCGCTGGGCTGGTACATGGATGTCTTTGGTTGCCATTGGACCAGCTGCAAATTTTTACAACCCTAAACCAGGCAGGGGGAGCAGAGAGGAGAGCTGTGGCTTTGTGTTGTGACAGTCTTCTGGGGCCTTAGGCCTCACTGAGTGCTTGAGGTACACCCATCTGTCACCACTCTGTGCCTCAGTTTCCCTGTCTGCAAGACAGGTTAATGAGGAGGGTCTGATTATGAAAAGCATCATCAAGTCTGTGGAAAAAATGTTTTATGTCTCCCTGTATAAGGGCAGTGTCTGAGGCAGCCAGACCAGCGCCACTTCTGCTATGGATAAGGATCTGGTGATCCGGACTCACACAGCAAACAAACCCCGACCGTCACAGCAGATGAGAGAGGAAGAGTAAGCTCAGTGCTCTCTCTGCAGGTCGTGGCAGGTGCTTTCTGCAGCTTCAATAAACCACTCCCCAGAAACAAACAGGAGGAGAGGACATCCTGTTTGAAACCCTGCTGTCATCGGCCCAGCCTGTGCATAGGGGAAGCCCAAGGACAGAAAAACATCAGCTCAAGCCTGCTGGTGATGGAGGGTCTGCAGATGATTCAGAAGGAGGCAGGGATCTTTCAGCTGTCCCTGAAGGTGCTGAGATGGGTCTGTGGAGAGTGCCATAGAAAAATACCTGTGCTGGGTTGGTGCACTTTGTTTACACTCTCATAAGATTGAATCAACTGGACCATTCCAATAACACACATTTACTCTTGACCCCCTTCATCCTCAGGAAAAAAAAAACCCAAACAGCATTGCTGATCCCATGGGAGCAGAAATCATGAAAGCTGAGGGAAAGCCATCAGCCCTAGGACAGTAGGTTTCACTGTACTGACATTTATGGGGGATTTTCAACCCATCTCAGAACCACAGTAAGATACTCAGCCCTGCTGAGCCAGCAGGTTCCCCCAGCCTCTCCAGCTCCACGGCTGCACCCCTGTGACCTGATCTATGCTCACAGTCAGTCCCACTGACATAGAATCATAGGATCATAGAATCACAGAATAATTTAGGTTGAAAAGACCCTTAAGATCACCAAGTCCAACTGTAAATGTCACACCAAGTGAGCTACTGACGCATGGTCACACATCTGAAAATTCAGCCCATGAACCACAACCCTCTTTCTGCAGCTGCCCCTTTCCAACACTGATATTCTCATTGTTTAATTCACTTTCCATTGTGCAGCACTCCCTCCAGCATCACTCCAGCACCGCTCCAGTATTGCTCCAGCCAGCCAAGGGCTGGCAGTGGGGCCGGGTGTGCTGAGCAGCCCGGAGGAACAGCCCTGGAAGGTCTGAAGTGTTCCCTCCACAGTTTTCACTCGAGACATTATAAAAACTATTGTAGGTGATGGAAATGGCCATGAGGTTTAGGAGCCAGGCCAGGTTTACTCAAACAGGAAAGAGGAAAAGGGAAACATTGTTAGCAGAGAGGAAAATACGCATTGGCTTTCTAGCACTTGGCTCTTACTCCACGCAGAAAAGCAGCGTGTGTGTGTGAGTGTACCCGTGTGTTTGTCAGTGGGAGGGTGAGGACTGATTTCTCAGACTCAGACTGCCTCGTTACTCCCCCAGGAGAGAGGGCTGAATTCTTCCTCTGCAAATTCAGAAGGCCACAATATCGAGACCCTCACTGCACGGAGGGAAATCACAGCCGTGTTTGAATGATGAGAAATGGTCCATGGGGAGGTGAAATGTCCGTGAGATCTCTGAGGTCAGTGGGTAAGGCTTGAGCCTGGCTCTCTGGAGACAGGAGGTTATGACTTTCACCCTCACCTGCACCACTGCTGTGATGTGCCTTAATAGCAGCAGGGCCACTTCGGCCAAGAGGATGAGCAGATGCAGCATCCCTGCCTTGTGAGGAAGCTCTGACCTACAGGAAATGTTCTCCTTTTGCACAGACTATGTTATGCATGAGAAGAGGCTGAGAGATGTCAAGATATTCAACCTGGAGAAGGCCAATGGTGTTATTATTGCCATCCTCCACTACCTCTTTATAGAGAAGATAGAGCCAGGCTCTTCTTACAGGTGCACAGCAAAAGCTTGATGCGTAATGGGCATGAACCGCAACAGGGGAATTTCTGGTTAAGAATAGGGATATCTTATTTTATCATGAGGTCAGTAAAAGATTGGATCACTTGAGAGATCCCACAGAATCTGGGGAATCTCCATCTTTTGAGATATTAAAAATTCATCTAAGCAATACCCTGAGCAACTTGAGTTAACTTTTAGTACAGTCCTGCTTTGGGCAGGGGCTGGAACAGACACCTGCCTTGCAACCTCAATCTTCTGTGAGTTTGTGACACTTTTAGGACAAAATCAGCCTCACAAGAAGCATTCTCTGGGAAGATCTTGGTGGGGACCCATGCATCCCAGTCAATCTAACTGCACGGAGGTGAGGAGCACTTCCAAATCTCCAGCTCCACAAATTTGGTTACTGCCCCATGGGAGCGCAGCATGGAAGAAAACCCCTTACCATTGTTTTCAATGACTTTGGTCTGCTTCTTGTTGTTATCTTGTTGCACTCCATGGATCTCCACAGTTACCTTAGGATCAACGATGGAGTTTTTGCTTTTGTTCACCTTGGGTAGCTGCTGACCAGAGATGATCTGTGGAGGAAACAGAGGAAGAGGTCAGGACATCATTAGGAGAGGGGGCTCCCTGGCAAACTTCCCTCTCCTTCTCCAGTAGTGCAGGACCTGCTGTGACAAGCTGGTGCTGGTCTTTCGGAGCCAGCGTTGTGACATCCTTCAAAGGAAGTTGTCATGAGCCAAAGCACCTAATGAACATTGCTCCAGCCCAGCCAGCTGGCTAGGGGGCAAGAAACTTTTCTAACTGTCCCCACAGTGATAAGATGACACTTGGAAACAACAGTGGTGACTGTTGACTGCATGTCTGCCTGTATGTTATGCCTGTATGACAGTGAATATTGTCATTAACCTCTCCTATTGCCAAACACTAAACGTGTGAGTAAGTCCCTGGAGGATGAGAGCCCATGCAGGACTGAAGCAGACATCCCAGTGGTGGGAAATGAGTAGGATCAGGACAACATTGCCCAAGTGGGAGCAGGAGAAGAAGAAAGTACAACCTACACACCCCCCCTGAAGGTGGATGCTACTGAGACATTTTCCGACTTCTATTCTTACTTTAAGTAGAAGCTTCTTCTTTGTCCCCCATGTTCCTTCTGTGATGGATTTTGGATTGAATTTGGTTTGCTCATCCCGGAGGAATTCCGGCTTTAAGACGTACCCAGAAAACCCATTGTCCTGGAACCGACCCTGGTAGACATCCATTTCTGTGCCTGCTGTCTGGAAATTTAGGGCAACTGCAACATAAATAAATAAATTCAGTCACTTTCAGATGAATCAATGAGAATATTTTTATACTAATTCTCTTCAAATGAAATTGCGCTTCATGGGCATAAACATTGGCTTTTCCATGCTTCAAAGAGAAGTGATAAACTCTGACCCTCACAGTCTTGTACCCCTGAGGATTTCTTGCAGAAAGAAGGAGCCAGAGAGAGACAGAAGGAGCCATTACAGGCATTTCAGTTGTCCTCCTGCCTCCCCTAGGATCAAAAAATGTCCTGCATTGAATTTACGCCACCTGGTTGAACAACTGAATCTTTTAGACAAACCTATTCATTTCTATGTTGAAGGATTTCTCTCCTGCAGTGAAGCCAGCAAATCCTCCTCAGCTTGTTTCTCTGGCTACTTAACCTCATTATAAAACCTCCTTTCCAGCCCAGATATGCCTGATTTCCTTTGCCATCCTGATGGGCATTGATGCCTCTGTTGGTTAGACCAGAGAGTTCCTCGCTGTCTGAACTCCTCATGCAGGAGTACGGAAGCTGTGATCAAATCATCTCTTTATTGTCCCCTGCCCAAAACAGATCAAGCCTCACTGGTGTCCTAACACCAGGCAGATTTCTTGTATTCTTTCCAATTTGCCAGTCTTTTTAAAAGCATTTATGTCAAATCTGGAAGCAGTCTCTGTGAACAGTCTCATAATCCCACACAGGGAGTGCACATGGATCCCAGCACGCCTTCAGTACTCCACGGATTTCTCAAGGACAATACTAACCTCTTTAGCAACATCTAAGACAGCTCTAGGATAGACGACAACATATCCTGCTCCTGGATCCTACATATACCCTGTAATACTTGAAGGCCAAAAGCATTTTAAGGCACTCCTCTGTTTTGCCACCTGCAAGCAAGACTTTAATAACTCCAGTATACTGGTTTTACTGGGAGCTGCAAATACTCAGGGCTTCTGAAAAAAATCGTATTTTGGGTGCCCAAATACTGAATTCAGGTCAGATAAGGCATGACTCTTATCTCCTAACGGCTTTGAGGTGGGCCAGAAAATGGTCTATGAAAAGTCATTGAGCGTTGACAGAAGAGCTGATGTCTCCCACTGACCACTGAGCCTCTCTGCCTGCAAATGGCTTGAGATCACACATATATGTCTGCTGAAGCCCCTCCATAGCCAGGTCACTGGTGACCCAGCCAGGCTGACCCTCTCCAACCTCCTAGTTGCACCCACCAATCTGGCAGCCAACATTCCACAAGTCGATGGGGTTATAGTTGGAAGAATCTGTCCTCCAGCCTGCAGGGTAGATCCGGCTCAGGTGCCTGATGTTGTGATGAATAAAACTGGTTCCTACAGAAAAAAAAAAAAAGAAGAAAATGTCCCTTTCATTGATGGGGATTTATCTCTTCTTGATGCTGCTGTATATATATAAAATGTCCTTCTTTGTAACAGCATCTATGACACTAAGTTATTCCCAGTTTCTCAGTGACATACATGGCCAAAAGAAAATGTCCCTTTCATTGATGGGGACTACTTTTATCTCTTCTTGATGCTGCTGTATATATATAAAATGTCCTTCTTTGTAACAGCATCTATGACACTAAGTTATTCCCAGTTTCTCAGTGACATACATGGCCAAAGAGATTATAACCCATGTCTTTCAGCATGTCTTTTCCTCATGCTTAACCACCACTGCCTGTCTCTTATTGGGACAGGGACAGAGGATGGCCTTTTGCCAGGGCAGAACCTACATACCTGACTCCTGGGCTAGTTTCAGAGCTTTGCTCTCTGTGAACGATGACATCTCATAGAAAGGCCGAGGGTGGCTGGGATCCTCAAAACCATTGAAATGGACGCTCTTGCAGTACACAACAGTGTCTGACAGCTCCTTGGCCAGCTTCAAGGTGTCCCTCTAAAAGTAAGAGAGCAAGAGTTTGTGTGGAGTTTCTGCAGTCATAGCATCATAGAATGGTTTGGGTTGGAAAGGACCTTAAAGATCATCCAGTTCCAAACCCCTGCCATGGGCAGGGACACCTCCCACTAGCCCAGGTTGCTCAAAGCCTCATCCAGCCTCGCCTTGAACCCCTCCAGGGATGGGGCATCCACAACTGCTTTGTCCTGCTGCCAAGCACATAAACCTGAAAATAAGGGGAAGGGAGGGATGTTTTGGCCTCCACAGAGCTTGAGCTTTTTTCTCTGGAACTAGGCAGTTCTCATAATGCAGGTGCCTCCTACTCCACAGCCAAATTCATTGGTGTAAGGGTGATGTGAGAGCCACCAGCTCCCATCAGAGACAAGGAAAGGAAATTACAGACTTCAGAATTATACACATTATTGACTACAGTTCAGAGAAAGAATTAAGACCCTCAAAGAGTGAGCAAATCAGCAAGGGGAAGCATAGATCAGACCAGACCCAGAGGCAATGTCAATCAGCTTTGCCATCAGTGGGGCTGAATGTATTTATGTCACCTACGAACCTGATCCGTAAGAGACATGGCTTTCACAATGACCTGCAGTTTGGAAAAGTGAATGTCCTCACATGAGGGAACAAAACACTGGTGTAAAGGCCAGCCTTTTCCTCGCAGGTATAGTCATCTCAATTGCTTTGGTAACCAGCCACCCCTTCCCCATAGACCCATAGCTCTTCCCTCCCCACCTCCTCTGGGTTGGGAGAACATGGCCAGTGAGGGTGCAGGTATGTCCCAAAATGTGGCTAGAAAAGCACCAGCCTCTGGTAACAAACAAATTAATGATGGTCCCATGACAAACAGATGTCTGGAAATCAGAGATAGACTGAACGTGTGCCCTTCCACTGCTTCCAGAAATGCTACATGGCCTGTCTCAGCTGCAGAGTCCTCCAGCCTCATTTTAAGGGAAGAAGACAAATTTCGTGCTTGGCTGGCTCTGGAAGATCTCTGTGTGCTTAGGACAGAGATCATCAGGCTGAGCAAGGACCAGGATCCTTAACTCCAGCGATTTCAATAATTCACCCTTCCATATTCCCAGATGGGTTGCTGAAAACACGCTGAAAACTGTCTTAGCTGAAAAGTATACTTCAATTGCCTTTTTTTTTTCTTTTTTGGCATAGTACAAAGCCCATCTAGAAAGCAGTTTCCCAGCCTGAGTCATGGGATAGGATAACAAAATAGGGTTTCCTGATGCAGAACTTCAGAGCCTTCTGCAATAGGCAAAAATCTAGTTTTATAGCTTTTTTGGCTCTTCAGGTCTGCCCCAAAAAGGTCTCAGTTACTTCTTTTACTCACCTTCCCCTTCTGCTGTATCTCGGTCTTTACAGACTCATCCTCCATTTCAGCTGCTTCATCTTCATCAGAGACATCCTCAGCCTCCAGGTTGTTGTTCCCATTTGTTCCGGCGGGGTCCTCCTGCCTGCTCAGCTTCTTGCCTTTCACAAGGATCTTCCCTTTCAATTGCTGCACAAATAAAAGTGGACAAAATAGCTGCTGATTAGAAAAGATTCTGACCTACCCTGAAGGAGCAAGGATATAACAGCTCCTCAGCTGCAACCAGGGTTTAGAGTTGCATCAGTTATTATCAATAGATACAAATAAAAAATAAGTCTGGTTTTCCACTGAGGGACTGCCCTGCTTCTGGCCAGCCTCTGAGACCACAAACCATGAGTCTGAAAACCCCAGACAGCCAATGGATTTCCCTCTGATAGAGAGCTGCCTGTCTCCTCAACTAGACAACTTAAACTCTCATGCTGTTAGAGGCAATAAAAATATACTATTTTTCTCAAAACAGAATACGGCCCAGCAAACAAAGTCAGGGCTCGTGGCAGCTACTCACAGCACTGTTTCTGCTCCTCTGTGTGTCTCTGTTATTTAATCTATCCCAGTCTCTGCAATGTATGGTTATAACACACAGACAACTTGGGAAACAGCAAGAGATCCCTGCAGGGACTGCAGCAGCTCAGCCTCTGCTCCACTAGACATTTTAATGGAGAGAGAGGTCCATTAATTTCTGGACAGGTGCCTTAGGCATAGCAGACATGGGATTTTAACATGTTAGGGATCTTGATGGTGAAACCTTTGGGTGCTGACAGCCTAAGGAAGAGTTCCCAGATCCTTCCCAAAGATACCTCCTCTTCTGAGAAGAACTCATCCTGAGACTGCTACCATGGCACAACACTAATAATAACCAGCAGCATGTGCCAACGTAACGCAGTTGGCTGCTGAGCTCATCCAAGGAGCACATCTCTTGTGCTGAATCAACCCTCTCCAGCCTCTTTCAAAGTCCACGTAAAACCTCAGGTGAAGGAACACACCAAGGCTCACAGACCACCATACCACCGATGCATCTCTTGTGCAAGATCTGACCGTG